ACCCACAGCCACCGCCCGGGGCCACCCGAAAAGAACAGCATCCGGCATTCGCGGGAGGGGACAGCGGAGGGACGGCTCACCTTTCCGAGAGACGCGGGCCGCGCGCGGCCTCGCGCACCTGGGGCGGAAGTGACTCTTCCCGCACGGCCCGCCTGGACTACACTTCCCAGAAGGCCTCGGGGGAGCGGGGGCGACGCACAGACGACTCCAGAGGTTATCCGTGACTATCGTGGATTCCCGGACTGCGTTTCCCAAAATTCCCGACCCCAGTAGGGCGGCCCTCTGAGCGGCCTGCGCGGCGGAAGTTATCCTAGAATCCGGGATGGGAGTGTGGTGAACTACATTTCCCAGAAGTCTCAGCGTTCCTCCTTGTTTTTTCAGAGCGGATTTGCTTCCATAAGAAAACTCGATTCAATGTCACAATTTCTAGGTCTGGAACTTCCCCACCTTTCTATGGAAGACCGTGTGTTAAAGACGCCTTTCTGGAGCCCGTCAGGGCAGCTTGGGCCTTGGCCACTGCACTTCCTGGCATCTGCAGGGAAGTCCTTGCAGCCCGCGGGCTCCCTTGTTATCATTTGCAGGGTCACCTGAGTTTGGGGATTCTCGTCTGAGTCACTTCTCCCGACTGCTATTCACCTTCAGCGCTCCACCCTTCACCCCTTCGTGACCTTGCAAAAGGGAACCTTTCCAACCTGACCATCCACTCAGTCTAATCAGCTATTGTATAGAGAGAGGAGGAACTTGACATACAGAAAGGAGGAGGCGATAACCAGGTTTTACAAAAACAAACAAACAAACAAACAAAAAAACCAAATTTTAAATAGTGACATGGTGCTTGCAGTTGGTTGATTTTACTCTTTTGCCTCTTTGGGGCCACACCACCCAGCTCCCAAATAGACATAGAATCTTACTATTACTTATAAGTGCATGGCTTTACTTGGCCTGATTCTAGCCAGGCACTTATTTTCTTAAATCATTCGGTCCTCTTTTTGCCACTGGGATTTTTTCTCTATTTCTGTATGTCTTTTCTTTCCTTCTTATTCCATGTCTGGCTGTGTAGTTAGCTGGGTGGCTGGACCCTTCTTTTCTTCTTTTCTTGCTCCTTCTTCTCTTCCCAGATGTTTCCCTCTCTGCCCGCCAGCCCTGTCTACCCTTCCTCCTCGCTCGCTATTGGTCGTTCAGCTCTTCATCTGACCGTCATATTTTTTTTGTTTTGTTTTGTTTTTTTTTTTTTTTTTTTTTTTTTTTTTTTTTTTTTTTTTTTTGTTTCTCTGTGTAGCTTTGGAGGCTGTCCTGGAACTCTCTCTGTTGACCAGGCTGGCCTCGAACTCACCGAGATTCACCTGCCTCTGCCTCCCAAGTGCTGGGATTAAAGGCATGCACCACCAACGCCCAGCTGCCCATCAGATGTTTTAGACAGGAAAGTAGTGCAGCTGGACAGAGTTAAAACAATGCAACATAAAAAAATTCAACCCATCTTTGCATCTTAAAAACAAATGTTCCACAGCACAAACAAAAGTAACATGGTAAAATAATATTCCAGCCGGGCGTTGGTGGCGCATGCCTTTAATCCCAGCACTCGGGAGGCAGAGGCAGGGGGGTGTTTGTGATTTTGAGACCAGCCTGTTCCACAAAGTTCCTGCCAAGCTCCACAGAGAAATTTTTGTCTCAAAAAAAAACAA